GGAAAGCAAATGTTTGTGTCTGTATTAAAGGACTCTGTTGGATGGATATGAGAGAAAAGGTGTGGGAATTCCAGAACCATTCAAAATGTTCGGGCATGTTTTGTAGATCATTCTAAGTGAATAAGGCTGCTTTAAAACGTTTTTTAAGCATTTTTTTGGTCAAGTTCAAGGTAACTTAAAGAGAGGATTTACCCAGAAAGTTGTATATATTGCAGAAAACCTATTGAGATAAAGTGTGTTAATATCAATGTCAAAAATATGATTTAGTTTGTTAACTTTTACGGAAAAAAAACAACCCAAATTTTACTTCCGTCCTTTCTGCAGAGCATTGCTGTTAAGGCCCGGACACACCAATCTGACAACAAAGAACTGACACAGACGGACCCCCACTGTTGCGTCGCCTCGCGTCTCTGCGTCTTGGCCATGTGTCGCACTGGAACACACCGCAAAGACTTCAGCCGACGGCCAAGAAGCACGTACGAACTGCGCATGCGTGAGTGGCAATAACTCTCCTTACCAGCAGGCGACGGTAGTGTGTATTCGTCATTCAAAAGAGGCAACAACCGGAAGACAGACTGCGTGATACACCGAGAGAAGAAGAACAGACTGCGTGATATAAACAAACAACAAATAGCGTGTGCGTTCCATTTTCACTCTACAGCGAGAAGCTCATGGGGCTTTCCTGAACCTGTGTCGAGAGCTGGAGTTAAATGAAATCTCAGATTTGCCTTCTTAATAGTTTGTTTGGGTCCCTCACTTCCGTTTCGCTTCTCATGCACTGATTCGCTAGCTGAACAGCCAATCAGAGTGATTTCTTTTGCCGACTGCCTTTGGCCGACTGCCAACTGGTTTTCGGCCGAAAAGGCGTCGGCACGGCTGAAAAGACCCGACGGTGCGGGACACACCAATCTGAGTAGGGCGTGTCGACGCTCATCGTCGGCCTGACGCCCACCGACGCCGATAATCGGCCTGGTGTGTCCGTGCCTTTATATGCAGTAAGTAAGTAAGTAAGTAAGTAAGTAAGTAAAATGTATTTATAAAGCGCTTTTCACAGACAAAGTCACAAAGTGCTTGACAAAACATTAAAACATCATAGGAATCATAACATAATAAATGACCACACAAGCCACGTGTTAAGAAGTGCTAAAAAACACATTAAGCAAGGGCCGTAGTTTGAAACCAGAAAGAAAGCCAGACTGGTTTTGGACCCTTAGCTTCAAGGCTGTTTCCCACTTATTTTCTTCTCCTTCAATCGGTGTTAACCCTGTTGGACATCTGCCAGCAGGAGGTCGTCTGTGGAGGGTTAAAGACGGGAGGACGTGTGTACATATGTGGTCATGAGGCTAACTATGTGTTTAAAAGGAGCCTGGTTAACAAGACGAGGACCATCAGTGACCAACTGGAGCTGCAGCACATCATCCAGTCTGACAGCAGCTTTATTCACAAAGAGCTTTTTGCAAAACAACAACAGAGGAACGAGGACAAAGGCAACACGAATTCTGAAGAAGTGCTGACATGGAGGATAGGAAAGTTTAAAACTCAGGAGGCATACAGCCAGCTGAAATTTGATTGGACCGCTAAAAGCTGAAAATGACGAGATAAAGGCGACTTGGGATTCATCCAATACACCCACTGCTGGATCTGTGCTCAAATTAAAGATCTGACAAATACTCTTTTGATTACATACACCTCCCATGGCTCCGTCTCAAAGGTTCAATTATGATTGAGTTCAAATCTCATCCCTTTAGTAGCACTGAAGTGAATTACACCTCACTGTGGCGGATATTTGCTTGACCCAGCGGGGGAACTTGAGTATAATGAAAGGGTGGGCGGCACCTTCTGAAACTGATAATGTTAGATGACTCAGGTCAGGTGCGACTTGATCGTCTGTTTTTGTACTAATATGATATTGTATGCAGTGCCATTTTAAAATGCTCTGTTATGTCACATCCTGCTCCACTTGGCTTGTCTTTTGAGCTCAGCAGCCAGTATTTCATCAGAAAACAAACACTTCCACTCTGACTGTTCTGTGTACGCGTTAGATTCATTGTGTGTTTTTGTTTTTGGATGGAATGACCGTACGGGGCCATCATTTATTCCTCTTGCTAACATTTTCATTGGCAGCCACACAATACAAAATCCTCCGTACCACTCAAGGACATGTTTACACTTGGAGTTATTTGTCCCAGCGCTGAGGGACTCAAGGTGTGCCAAATATCCCCACAGACCCCCCCCCCCTAATTTTCAGAACTAGTTGATATAATAGAGAAAGGAGAAACTTTACATCTAATATGACCCTGCCAAGACCTCAGAGGCCGACACGTTGTTTGGTAAAGTACAGGTCACAGTAATATCTCAGCCAGTAGCCTTGGCTCAGGACTGATTTAATGTCTGAGGTTGTTTCGGGTCACACAGAGTTCAGATCATGCAAAGGAGGAAGGCTCGTATTATATCTTATCCACTGAATCTCAGCTGTCCGGCGATGATAGCACAGCTCGTTGTGGTTTTGAGAAATGTGGCTGAAGCTCATGATGGAACTGAAGACAGACATTTGAAGAGACTTGAACACATTCTCTGTTTATTTGGATCTCTTTTAGATAAAAATGCTAGTCTCCCAAGAGTCCATATTATAAAATATACTATGCTTATATTCTATATAAATGCAATATTGTTTAAAGGAATAGTTTGAAATATGCTTTTTTGCTTTTTTGTAAATGGTAAGCCCACCATGTGGTATCTTGGTGAGGACCATTTGGGAAGATACTCGCCCATGTAAAATGAGAAAATGTCTTTATATTTGGGTTTTTGTACGCATTAAACAAACAACTTAAAACGTGTTAATTAGTGAGATTTGAATGTGCTTGTAGGCAGATTTTGGAACTAATGCAAGACTCAAACATCGTGTTGTGAGCACTACTGCCAATTATACGCTTTTCTAAGTGTGACAAAAATGTATTTTTAATTATATTACCTCATTTGTTTGTGTTCATGGAGGCTTTGACAAACGTTTCTGTTTTTTAGTCACTCATAGTTGCTCCCATAACATACCTATACGTGTTGTACCAAAGTCATTGATTTGAACTGTTGCTGTAATGCATGTCTAAAATTCTCTCTGTGCATACTGTAGTCTGCTTCAAATGGAAAACGAATCATATCACCTTAATTGGAGGAAGGTGAAAGAAAGAGCCATGATCTTCTTGGGAAAACTTTGAGAGTATCATTCATTTTTGTATCCAGTGAAGTGTGTTGGTATGTGTACTTTTAGTTTTAATTTGTACTCATCGAGTTTAAACAGTGTGCTCTAATGGAACACATATCTGGCTCACCACTGCATGGCAGAGGTGCAGGCTGAAGGATCGTTATGTAAGGCGGTTAATTTCGGTCCCCGGAGGGATTATTAACCGCCGACTATAATGCAGATAATTTATTCCGAATCCAACCTCTGCAAAAACTGGATTCTCTTGCACTGAACATAGCTGGAAAATGTAGAATGCCATAATTAGTTGTAGCATTTAGAAAAGAGTTGTCATCCAAATGGCAATACAAATGAAAGTCTGTGTGTGTCATTTGGGGAAACTATAACTTACATAACCAGAGCTGATGTTCTGCTTCTCATGCTCTGTGTACCGGGCAGTTCAGATTCAGCTGGGATTACATGTGTCATGTTTATTTTTCCCTCTCTTGCTTCCTCTGAAAGGGCTCATTATTTATTTCAGCTAAAGAAACCGAGTGATGCAAGGTCACTGGTTTAAGTGGAGGAAGAAATACTATCAAAGGCTGAGTGGGCTGCAGAAGAGAAAGAGAAGTATTTTTACACAAACTCAAATTCTTATATGTGTCATATCATTTTACAACATCACTTTGTCTAAGTATTCCAGACATCACATAGACCTTTTTTTATCATAGCTGTTTAGTCACGTTTAAGTAAGCTGTTAAATTGTAAGTGCCAAGCTCAAGTTAAAATGTGTTTAAACTTTGGCTAAAGTCGAAGCGTATCAAACAAATGTCCACAACTCCAATAAAAAACATTTTATAGTTATTTCTAAGTAGAAAAACAATTATTTATTGTAATTAAACTGATATCTTGGGCTTCAGGTATGTATTTACATGCAAGAACAAGAACCAATGCTGGCATACAATCTGGACAAACTTCCCAAACACTGCAGTTTCTTTGTGGAACTACTGTATTGCCTTTTTGTCATTTGATACATTTTCAATCGGTAAAGGCAATCTGAATTAAAATCCAACATTGTGTTCACATGCAGTACACTCAATCATTTCGCTGTGCTTTTTGGGTGTACAGTTAAGCTGCCATGTGTGGCACTGAAACGTATAGGTGACACTTACAGTGCTCAGAAAGTCGGGGTTAGGATGTTCCAACATTTTACAGACTAGTTTGAATGGTTACAACCATAATGAAATGAATGCACACTGTAGTCACTCTAAAGTATTTGGTAAAATGTAGAAATTATTATTATTATTTTATTTGTATATATGGATATCACTCCATGTCTTGCAGTTTTACACCTGGTTTCTCCATATGGCAGTGAAAAAGTGTTATTTATATGATGTAATCAGGGAAATTAATGTAATTTCCTTTTTTATGTTAATGAAATATACCCAGTGGTAACCCAAACTCTTTCAGGGAACATTGGGAACTACAACGCCCCCTTCAGAGACTCAGAGCCCATGTTCAGACCACCAGACATGTCCTCAATGTTTGTCTTTATTTTGGACCTCCTAAAGTCGAAAAACATGCATTCTCCTGCTTCATGACCCATTTCTGACTTCAGTTGTAAACAAACACACCTGGAGTCGAACCCGCTGCCTCGAGCCCAGGCGGGAATGCTCGCGCGTTCGGCTCAGTTTCACAAGCTCAACAAGGGTGGACTGTACCAATGTGACTCCTAGATGGAGGGGGGAGCCAGACAGATAAACACGCAATTATCTCCCGATATTTGACGTGCATTTAGTCGGGTCCAAACCGGAGCTGCCACAAGGTTCACAAATACTGCCCTTCACTTATTTTGAATCAAATAACACATTTATATCGTAGGCCTACGTGTTTTTTGTTTTATTTCAGGACAACTTTTCCCAACACCCCTAAAACACCGCTACATCTTGCCTTTTGATTGACCGCTGCATATATTTTTTTTTCTGTGTGCTGAATTTTCCTCCTGCTGGAAAAGGATAAAAAAAACTGGAAAACTGAGGAACAAGGCACAGTGGAAAATACAGGAGGTTGAAGGAAAAAGTGAAATAACAAGAGACTAGCGGGGAGATTGGAGGAACAGGTTGGGAAGAGAGCAAGAAGACAAGTGGAGAACCAGACTTGACATTCATTTTTAAGAAATCCTTGCTTTTGTGTGGAGATTTTTTTGTTTCCTATCTGCTGATTAAAGGTGAGTTTAACCCGTTGCTGTTTTTTCTAGTAGGATCATAACAAATTGTTTTAGTTCAAGTGAGGGAGTAGCCTGTGCAGTCGTGCAGCAAGGGACAGGCAACAATGTTTGATGTGCAGGGATGCAACGTGGAACCATCTGTTTAATAATGCATTATGCACACCCAAAGTACCCCCCCCCCTAGGTTTTCCCCCTTTATTGAATTCAAAAACACGCTGCTATCAACCAGAAAAACAGCCAACTCTGCAAGACATTAATATTTAAATGTGTTTACAAGCGCCAATTAAAAGAAGGACTATTTAAATGACATTTTGCATGCATGGGATCCTGATAATAGTGCATGTGTGATTGGGAGAGTGCGTGTTATTGAGACGCACATGTGGCACAGCCGTCAGTTCTTTGTTCCTCTCCCCACCTCCCCCCCCTATAATAACGGAGCCAGGCATGACAGCTCAATGGCATGCATGCAGAATTTGGGGCAATATTGACATCCTACTGGCGCATTAACTGGAATCATATATGAACCCCCCCTCTATACATCCCAGTCTTGCATTTTACCCACCAGCATCACCATCATTGCTCTTCTTTTGTGGTGTTTGTGGTATTTCATGGTTAAATACATATTGTTATTGCGAAAAAAAGGTTGCCTTTGTCTCTTTTTCAAGAGAAAGAGGGGGTCAGAATAGGGCTGTCTGTGAGGGGGGGTCGAAAGGGGTGTTGTGGCTCTTGGCATGCCAGAGGAGGGGATATAAAATGTGTCAATGTCAAATGGAGGTGTGTCCCTTGTCTGTGTACGTTCATTGGGTCTGTGGTGCCTTGGTTTCTTATTTTTATATTTTTTAAACTGGGAAAAAAAATCAAAAAATCATGCAAGTCCTCAAATGATCCGTTTCGTAAGACTCCCTTATGGAATATATTAAAGCCTGTTTTTCTTCAGTGTGTCGTGCCAGACCAAGGACACACACACACACACACACACACACACACACACACACACACACACACACACACACACACACACACACACACACACACACACACACACACTCTGTCTACTCTGTACACAGCTCCACAGACTCAGACTACAGTTCTCACTATGCTGCATGCTGCATGCACGCACTCAAGAAAAGCTCACGCGCAGATTGTGTGAGTCATACCTCTTTTTTTGAGACTTGCAGTCTGAAGTGGAGCCCCTGCTGATAACACAAAAACACACAGAAACACACACAGAAACACACACGAACGAACATGAACACTTGTGCAGAAAGGCTCTTCGGAATTACACATTGCTGACAACACACACACACACACACACACACACACACACACACACACACACACACACACACACACAGAAACACAAAAAACACACACACAGACGTGTACAGAATGTCTCTTCTGAAGTACACATTGTTCATTTAGATGTTGAAATGCGCGCACAGGCTCTCTGCAAGCTTGCTCAGAAATTAAAGGCTTTGTTGATGTAGAAACGCACACACACACACACACACACACACACACACACACACACACACACACACACACACACACACACACACACACACACACACACACACACACACACACACACACACACACACACACACACACACACACACACACACACAGTGTACTATTTGTTTTTCTTTGTTACAAATGCTTGTGGGTGTGGTGCTACCAGTGGCCTTGTGTCTATACTTTTTGTTACCTGTTTATTTCCGCAATTCATAAATGTGGTCGCTCAAAAACAGTATTTTATTAGGGTCAGATTACGGTACGCCCATTTCTCATAGTCTTGTCTTTTTTTCAAATCTGTAAAGTGCCTTTGTATGGCTAAAGGGGCGACACGACTGGATGCAAAAATAAGTCTTGATTTCATTGAAGCCTATGAAAAAATGCTTGCAGAGAGGACACTGTTACTTTTGAGTCTGGATGTTAAATTGTCACAGTGTGGATTTGTGGAGTTTTTCAGGGGTCGAGTCATACGCTTCTGTTAAGATCAAAAGTAAACTCTTCAGCTGCCACAGTTGCTAAGTAGCCCAACGCTACATCCCCGAGTGTTTGTGTTCTGGCCAAGATCAACTTGTTGACATCATTAAACTGTGGTACTTTTGGTCTCTTCGAAGGGAGTTTTCAGGCATTTCTGAACACACTGATAAACACAGGAAGTATTTGTAAAGTGCATTTCACAAAAGCAGGTTTGTCATTTTAAAAGCCATAGATAGTGATGACCTTGTTTGTTTACATTGTCTCTGCACCACTGAACGTGTTGCTTTGGTGGCTATCGACCAACCAAAACCCATTAACGACTATTGTAGCGTCATTCGACATCCACTCTGTGCATTGGGATTGTCAGTAAATGTTTGACCTTTTGCACTCTAAGCAGAGTTGACTTAAAGGTAAACCGGGGTCCCTTCGAGTGGAAGAACTGGCAACCGTAAAAGAGTAAATATAGGACGACATATACCAGAACTGCTGTAAATATTAAACATGTCTATTGCATGTTTGCTTTATCTTCCAATGCACAAATTGACTTCCTCCCATGTTGGTGTAGGGGGGGAACTTGCTTGAGCGTATTGAGACGGCCACCTTGCCTGTTTACTCTACTAATATTAGCATTTACTCCCGTGGTGTTTGCCTATCCATCAGTGTTGACTGCAGGGGAAAACGATATGCTTGACCTGCTGTAGGTCGGTCAAGTTTTTGTGCTTTTACAGTTCAAATCATAGTTTTTTTCTGACGTTCAATGTTGGAGAAGGTGTATCTTATACTTACTTAAAGATTCACATAAAACATAAACATATTACGAGTCAATACTCATAAAACCATTCAGGTGTTGGCAATAAAACTGTTTATTATATGAAAATGTTGACAAATGGAGGTCATTTCCTGACTTTGAAATTAGCTACACTGATACATTTACCAATTTTCTCCGTGTTGTACTGTAGCAATGAGCGGCAGTGGCTCAGTCAGTAGGGGCTTGGACTGTCCCCGACCAGACCTAAATATGGAGTGTACTGTGGACTGCTACTTGGAGAGGTCCCAGTTCACCTCCTTCCCTGCCGTGGTGCCCTTGAGCAAGGCACCGGACACCCCCCCACCCCCCCCATTCCCATTGCTCCGCGGGTGCTGTACAATAGCTGCCCACTGCTCCTAGTACTAGACTCCTGGTACTAGGATGGGTTAAGTGCAGAGAACAAATTGCACTGTGTGCTCTGCATGTGTGACCATTAAAGAGGGTTTAATCCCTCCCAATTCTTCTACTTAGATTGCGTGGATCTAAGGTCTGATAGTTGCTATGAGAAGACGCTGATAACACTTTTGAAAGGTAGATAAATGTGTGCAGCAGACTAGGCCAGTAAAGAGCTATATTTGGAGGTTGATTCAGGTCCCAGAATATCAGGGAATCAAATGTTGTTGTCATCCCAACTGCTCAGAAATAGTCTTTGTCCATGTTGAGGTGCTGACTCTGAAATGAACTCCTCTAATTGCGCGCCAGCTGTTCGATTCTTACAGATCTGTCATTGTTAGGATATGCGGCGCCAAGCCACTGATTAGATGTGAAGTATTGTTTTAGTATGTGGACTCTGTTAGGTTATTTAATGGTGTTTTACTGATTGTGCTACAGAGCTGATGTTCAAGTCTGTGGGTGTAATTGCCTGTTCAGAGTAAGAGTTTTGTTTACTGCTCAGTTTCGCTGTTCGTTTACACCAGATACAAGCTGATGGCTGTTTTTAATTAGTTTGCCATTGAAACAAGTGTGAACATTGATTATTTAAAAACAAATGAGAGGGTAGTACTCTTTTAAAGCTGTGATACTATATATTTTTAGATTGAAGATGGATCAAGTGACCATGTTTATTGGAAAAGGTGTTGCTTGCAAAACCACACTTAAACCCCGTTTACACGAGGACGATACGGGTTGTATCCGCATAGTTTCTCTTGCGTACAGCCCTTTCGTTTACACGAGGCCGTAACAAAACGATAGAAACGGACCCCGCAAACGATAACGGGTCTTTGTTGATATATGTTAGTAAACAAAATATCTTAAACTTTTTGGACATTTGGTTGGCCAAAACAAGAGACTTGCAGGTGTTATTGTGGTTGCAGAGAAACTGTGATTGCCATATTCTCAGTTTGACATGTAATAGATCAAAACATTTTTTATTAATAGAAATAATTGGGAGATTTAAACCGAAATTCTATATAACTTGTGTAAATAGAAAAAAAATTCTGTAATAGAAAGCCAAATCATTTTGTTAAAATGCATTGATGAGTTGTATTTATGAAGGAAAAACCCCTCTCTTACTTTATTTACACGCTCTTTTATCCCTTGTGGCCCATCAGAGTGCAGCTACAGTAACTAACATCATCTAATGTGGCACTTCCCCCTGTTGGCACTAACAGAAACATTGATTCTTCTCTGTTGACAGTACATTCATCTCAGTGTGTGAAAACCCCGGCAAACGTGACACAGGAGACCAACCGAAACGCAAAACAAACATTGAAATGTGTGCTCACGGGCAACTGAAAAATTATTCACTTGGATGGAAAACCAAAGGACACAGAGAACAGCTGAAACATTTCCCAACAACACCTGCATTTTGTAGCCTATTGGAAAGAAAAACAAGTGGAATCTGGTGCAGGGTCATTAAAATGTCCACTACCATATGATATAGCATTGTGGACAACCTAAACACCATAAAGAAATTGTTGTTTATGGCTCATTAATTTGGTTTTTACAGTCTAGAAATCCTCTCAATCAAACTGCTTTCAATAAATCGTCCTTTTCTATATTGAAACCTGTGATATTAATGCTTTTTTTAAAGCCTTGCCTGTGTAACTGAAGCTCGATCAGTTATTTTGATATCCGTTTGGCAGCGGTGAACCCTAGTACCTGTATCGTAGCGTCAGATGTATTTTTACTGTCTGTACAGGGAAGAGGAGTACATTATCTGATGACTGAGACAGTGTGTACCAGCACTGCTCACTGCGTAGGT